GTGATAGCTATCAAAGATCTTCTAATATATATTCGTCCTTACTTTTTGTGATTGGCATGTGTGACTGAAGTCACCCAGACCTTTCATGAGACTGAAGTTTTTGAGAAGAGATAGATTCCATATGAGGCTGATTTATTCCTGAATCTATTATTGTCTTTATTAATATTTTTGGTATTTGTGCATATTCTATGTGATAGAATATCGTAGCTTATTTATTAGTACTAAAACTGATTAAAACCTATGTAACCTAATTTATGATATCATAATCAAATAATAGAATCTGATAGGTCATTGTGTATTTAAATATATATAGTTTTGAATATGCATCTTGTACAATATAATCTATATTTGTGAGAACCATTCTTGAGTAGTATTAAACTAGTAACTTACAGATGGTAACCTGGAAGTATATTTACTATACTATTAATCTACAAGTATAGTATTTCTATTAAGTAATCTTAATATATTTTCTCTTTGTTATTTTTTCAAATAATATTGTAGTTTCTTTTTTTCATGTAATTTATTTTGTTATTTTAAATAAGAATTATAAGAAAACTTTTTTTTTTTTTAGCTGGTGAAGTCATATCATATAGTTTTTATTTAATCAAAAATTACTTTTCCTACATATACAAATTGAATTGTGAGGAAATACATTTAGATAGAGAAAAAACCAATGACTCAGTATTTGAAAGAACCCTGCGACTTGCTATAGTCCACTAAATAGTGAATGTTAGCATGTTATGACTCCACTAACATTGAAATTTATAGAAAAAATTAAGTTTGATGTGTATCCATTTTGAAGTATGTTTCTTATACTATAGTTGGTTAAGTCTATATAAAGATATCTCTGATTATAAGGAAGGTTCCTGCTCTCTTGTACTGTGTCTTTCTACTCTTTTACCTTGTGATTCTTTACCTTTTCCCTCTTTTCTCTCCTGATGATTTCCTGTAATTTTTTCCACTTTATTACTAGCTCACATCTTAATTTCCATACCTTTCAGTTCTCTTGCCAGAACTGTGATGTAGCTATTTTTAATGCTATCTTGATAGTCTTCTCGTTTCCTATGATTTCCTCTACTGTCTTTCTTATCTTGTGTATGATGACTCCTCTGATAATGTCCATTTATTTCACTTCGTTGGCTCTGTATGTTTTTCCTATTGTGATCATTGCTTTGAAAAGCTGTTTCCATCTATCTTTTATGTTTTCTGTTTGCTTCTTGCTATCTGCTCTAGCAGCACATTCCTCTATAAGAAATTTTGTAAATCCTTCTCTTAGTCTTGTTTCATTTGATCCATATATAAATGAATGGATGTCCTTTTCTCCTGCCTTTTATAGATTATACATGTTGGATTCCCATACAGACTTGGCTTTCTTGTATTCATGTTCATCATGGTTGGGTGTTCGTTCAGTTATGCCTTTCATCTAAAGGTTCTATCTCTGTAGTCCTCTGGATTTGTTTGAAAGGATATTATTTTCAATAGTGTCATTGTTTACCATGTCATGTTCCAATCGATCTCTTTGATTTTCCTGACTGTGAGCCAGTCCTGGTTCCATCTCAGGGTTTTCCATTTGCTTGCCCATTTGGTCTTAAGCAGAGTTCTTCCAAGTGTTTTGAATGGGAGATCTATAAAGGATTGATTTCATCTTAGCAGTGTTTTGCTACTAGTGATATTCTTTTCTTGGATCTTTATTATGTCTTTATATTTGTCAACTAGTATTGTTGTTGCTAGTTTATCTACTAGCTTATTTCCTTTATTGCCTGAGTGACTCTTAACTTTGGTTCATGTGACTGTTATGTTCTGCATTATTATTATTTTGTGTATTGTGTTTGCCAAGATTTTGTTTGGTCTCTCATTTCTCCTTATCCTTTTTGTATAACAGTTCTTTCTTTTTTTAATTGCATTGATTGAATATTGGCTGTCTGTTATTATGTTTATCTATTTGTTCACACTTATTGTGCAGATTGCTGTAAGAATCGCTGTCAGTTCAGCTCTTGTGGAGGATGGGATATTTTGAGTTTTTACTTGGAAAGTACTAATCTCTATATCTTTTTCAGTTTGGATAACTCAGCTTATCTCCATTCTGCTATTTGTATGTCATCTTGTAAATGATCCATCTGTGTAAATACTAAGGTTATCATGCCCTGTTATCTCCTGCGCAATTTGTGAAAAGGTGATTGGATAGGAATGGTTACAAGGAATTAACAAAAAGGATAATGTAAAAAAATCAGATTTAAAAGTCCAAAAAATCAAGATCAAGATCAAAAAACTATCAATTCCTAAAAAAGAAAGATTGAACAATAAGAATTTGAAACAGATTTTAATAAAAGGAATTGAATATGGAATGAAATGATTGGGTTTTGATCTCTATCAGAGTTTCACAAAGTGATCTGCAATGGTAATTTGCAGGCAATGATACTAATAGTTGAAAGAATATTCACCTGAATTGTTAGTAGAGCAATAAATTACTCCCAAAATTACACTTAGAGTGACAATAGTCAAGATGAGTGAGTTAATTAAAGATTTAGCTTTATTGTCATATTGATATGTAAAGTCTACAAAATGTTCAATAAAATATATTGTATATAATTAACTTGATAGAAGAAAAAAAAAAGAAAAAAAGAAAAGAAAAAAGAACACATATAAAAGAAACGTTTCTTCATTATTTTTATCTTTTTAATTTATAATATTTTAATGAATATAATTATTAAATCTTTTTAAATTTCTTAACTTTCACGGTTACAGTACATACTGTATATTTTTTGTAATTAAAGAATACTAATTAAAAATTTTTTTCATTTTATTAGTTATTAATTTGCTATTTTAAAAAAATCATAATTTATAAATTAAATACTGCACGTAAGTATCAAATGATATCAGCAGAAATTATAATGATAATACGGTTTGATTCTTTCATTCAATTCTTTTTATTTCAGGAAACGTGAGTTGAATGAAACATTTCTTTTTTAATGATGTTTCGGATTATATGTACTGCAAATCTATGCACAAATTTTGTGTGATTTCAATTTTTGGAACTTTAAAGTAAGTAAGTATTTTTTTTTTCTAGAAAAGGATTTTTTTCCTAAAATTTGATCTGCTCATTCTGTTTTTGTAATTTTCTTTAATTACCTGACGTAATATGACCAAACCAGAACCGGATTTTAAACTATGTGAAAAACTCTAGGGCAAAGGTGACATTAAAATAAAATTTCACATTCGTCCGAGAATGCTGCTCGGAGAGAGGCGCCATGGTTACACTACGGCGAGCAGGCAGCACGTACGTACGTTCGACGTGCCGAATCGCATGAATCCCAAGTATTCTGACCGATTGTAATAAAAGCTCATGTTCCTTTCCTTTTAAAAAAAAAGAAAACGTACCTTGCACAACAACCCTCAATTTCTGAACCGCTACGCTTTCGTTGAAGTTTTTTGCATGTCTGCACTGCATCAGGGTCCTCATCCCTCCCTCGAGGGAGTGCAGAAATGTTTGTTTATGGATGGATGGGAAGGGGTTTTCAATCATCCCCCACCTTCACTCACCTGTTGGAGGAGGGAAGTTTCCCGTTTTATTCTCAGATGAGAAGCGCAACCATCCCCTCCTTTACCGAACCAAGCAATGTATATCCTGACGGCTTAATGCTGATTCGTTCCAATGAAGATGGAGGAACGCTGAAACGCAATTAAAAAGGTTTCACACGACTATACGATCACATCACACGTTTAACAAATGTATTTAACGTTTTTAGACAAAGGCAAAGGCATTTATTTGTTTTCGAAAAAAAAAAAAAAAAGAATCTCGAGTATATAAACCAATGCAAATTGGTAACGCAAGTAATTTAAATATTTTGAAACCTTATTAAGTAACCAACAAGAGCAGCGGGTTAAGAGTCGTTCAAATTTCGTGGACGTCAGCACATGTGACAACTTTTTTGGTAGTCTTCAAATAGAGCTACGCAATTAAATTCGTGCGACATTTTATCATCTGTTATGTGTTAGGATTTACGTGATTCGATCACGTATTTCCTTAACTGCCCTAGGGAGATTTTCATAGATCACCCTAGGGGGTAAAAGGCTGTGAACAATTTCCTCAAGTTTACCGTTCTTAATTTTATCACCAGACCTTTATGACTATAATACAGCACAGCCTTTATATAAACTAGTAAGACTAAATAACTTGATCTAAATTTATAACTGGTTCCGAGTTGTTAGATGCAATCGGGTCACCGACAGATGTAGCTGTCTAAGGTATTTATCGACGGCAAACTTTAAAAAGAAGCACGTATCCTCACAAGCAATTAGAGACTATTTTTGGTTCTGCCGTCAAATTTGTGGAAGAGGTGAATACAAATCGGGTAATTTTATTTATTTTTGGAAGAATTTTGGTCTCCATCATTGTGGTCCCCTTTTTATACATTCTTTTGCATCAGCTTAAGTGTTTCCACCAACAGTCAACTTATTTTTGGAATGTTGCTATATAATACTTCTTCTAGTATCACCAACCATCATTGTACTCTTATAGAACTTTAACAATACTTGTTCGAACTTTGCCGCCGCACAGAATTGGCTACCGTGCTTCGTTTATAAAAAAAAAAAAAATGCTCCTATGCTAATACATACATACAGTACGTACACGTCGTCTTGCACATTTGCATGTTATCGTATCAATTTATCAATCGTGCGGTTATTTATCTTGATATTGTATGTGTATTAAAAATTTTTACATGTAAACTTGCTTTTTCAAAAAAAAAAAAAACACACTTTTTTTTTTTTCCCTCTCCCTTTTCCCTCTTCCTTCTTTGGTAACGCTCTAGTTATTTTTTATTTTATTCTTCTTAAGATAAACGAACAAAACACTCGCAAAACAATCGTTCTTCAAGGGAAATAGGAGAAAAACACACTCCTGACAGAAATTATATATATATAAAAGATTTTTTTTTTATTACCTTGGACGAAAATTCCGTTAGTTACACCATTAATTATTACACCTTCTTTCAGTCCCTATGGGAAAGACGAAAAAGAATCGTTCCTCGGTTCCACTGGGATCCTCACTAGACGATAAGGTTGACCTGGTTCAACTTTTGTCAAATACCGACCTCCCTCCCTCAGAGGAAGTGATATTAGCCCTCCTCTCCGCCCGTTTTAAAGCAGACCTACCTTACATTCGTATAAATGCCTCCTCCCTTGTAGTAATAAATCCCAATAAACCTCTCGAAATAATGAACGATGCGTCAGCCAAAGAGTACGCGGACCATTGGTACAGAGACACTTCGGGTACAAACACCACTTTACAACCTCACATATTTGAATTCGCGGCGAGAATATACTTGCACATGAGGAGATCAGCCGAGGACCAAAGTGTGATCTTCAGGTCAGTCAATGTGGTTGGTCTCGCGTCATCGGTGATACAGCAATGTAAAAAATGCATGCCCATTTGTATTTGATTGGTGAAAATTTAATACCGTGACGTTTCTCTTTGCCGGTCTATACATACGTAATACGTACCGGCAATATTGCATCTCGGCATTTATGTATTTACGCTCCGTGCAACTTTTTTTTTTTTTTTTTTTTTTTTGAAAAAATAGCGGTATCACGGGTTCCGGAAAGACGGCTGCGCAGGGGCACCTCCTGTCACAACTTTTGCTCCTCTCGACGCACACAAAGAAAGAAGCTAAGCTTGCAAATCAAATTCAAAATGCGCAAATCATTTTAGAGGCTTTCGGGAACGTAAAAACGGTGCAGAATATTAATGCCTCACGTTTCGGAAAATACCTAGAATTGCAATTTAATGAGAAGGGTAGAATTGTTGGCTCAAAGGCCTTAACTTACTGCTTTGATAAGTATCGGGTGACTAAAATACCACCCAATGAAAGATCCTATCACGTTTTCTACTATTTACTCGCCGGTGCCACTTCCGAGGAGCGTTCGTCGTTTCACCTTCAGGATCCTCAAAGTTATAATTATCTGGCCCAATCAAAATGCTACAAAATTCCTGATGTGGATGATGGTATACAAATGGAAGATTTACGGGCGGCTCTTAAAAATCTGGGTTTCAAATCAAGGACCATTGCTCAGATTTGGCAGGTGCTTTCGGCAATCTTGTTGCTGGGTAACATCGAATTCATTGACCACAGCAAGGCCAACGACGAGGCAGCTGATATCAAGAATCATCATGTTTTAGATATGGTTGCTCAGTATTTGGGTGTACCGGCCTTCAAGCTAACGCAGACGCTGACTTACAGAACAAAATTAATCGGAAAGGATCTGTGCACTGCCTTTTTAAATGCCGAAGCTGCGGCCGAGCAAAGGGATGCTCTGTCTCGAGCTTTATATTACATACTATTCACTTGGATCGTGGAGCACATTAATTCAAAACTAATTCACTCTGACGAACCCCCAAACTTCATCAGTTTGCTTGATCAACCTGGCTCTCAAAATTTCGCGAAAAATGGGTTCGAAGAGTTTTGTCTGAATCTTGCTACCGAGGAGATTGAGAATTATGTTCTGAAACGAATCTTCGATGATCACTGTGGTTTCTCCGCAGATTTAACCAATGACGGCATCAGGCTGCCAAACGTCCCAGCGACAGATAACAACCGGTGCGTGGAACTTTTGAGAGGTGATGGTGATGTTAGTTCTACATCTGAATCAAATACCACAAGAATCGGTGGCTTGATATCAAGCTTGAATTTGGCGTGCGAGAAAGTTAAGAATGGCGTGGAGTCAATTGACGATCCTAAGCTACTCTCCTCTGTGCAACAAACCTTCTCCAGTCACCCCTCTTTCGTTTCCGAATCTGGTGCCTTCGGGATAAACCATTTTACGGGCAAGGTGACTTACACCTTAGACGGTTTCATTGAAAAGAACAACGACAGTCTGTCTCCCGATTTCATAAACTTGTTTCATGACACAAATAACTCGTTTATTCGAAAATTATTCTCGGGTCCCGCGTTGGCAATCGAGAATCACCCGAAGAGCGATAAAACTGTTGTCATGGCTCAACTTCCCTCAAAGCCAATGCGCGCTCCGAGCATGAAGAGACCAAAGAGGAGTGAGGGTAGACCCGCCGAGGATTCGGAAGAAAAGGTGTCCGCGAAGAAGTCGATTACCCACGTTTCAACCGTCGTGACCCAGCTTCACGGAACAATGCGTCAACTGATCGATACTTTGAACCAGACTCGACTGTGGAATACCTTTCACATTCGTCCGAATAACGCCAACGATCCAGACGCCTTTGATGATAATCATGTGTTAACTCAGATTCGTAGTTTCCTGATACCTTCCATTGTGTCCCGTAAGAGGTTCGAGTACACGTCGCAACACACCTTTGAAGATTTTCTAACTCGCTATGAGCCGATAATTCGGTCGCACAATTTGGAGGCTTCCCAGAATCTTCGGGAGAATGTTGAAGCGTTTGCTTCGGCTATCGGCTGGTCAGAAGATGAGTTCGCCATCGGTCAATATACCGTATCTCTTTCGGATACAAGCTGGAAGTCCTTGGAGGATCACTTGAGATATCTGGAGAAAGAAGAGAGAGCCAGGTCGAAGCAGACGAAAGATGACGATAGCTTGGTGAGCGGTGCTTTTCCGGGCGAGGGTCGGAAAGTTAACACCTCGAGCGCCGGAAGTTCCGTGGATCGACTGTTGCCGAAGAGCGGTGTCACTTACGCAGGTAGCGATGCTGGATATTACGATTCTCAGAGTTACGTGGAAAGTGAGGATGAATATGAGAATTCCAGAAGCGGGAGCGGCAACTACGCCGAAGACGATGAGGGCAACATGTGGGGCGGGGATGGGTGAGTAATTGCAATGTTCTTCTGACCCGAAAATGGTGGGCCCACGTGTGCTGAAACACAAACTTTGGTTGTTTGCCCTAGTTACCTGAACGCAGGAGATTCCGCAAAGAAAGTCCCGGATGATGGTGAGAAAGGTAAGGAGGAGGTCGAAGATATCAGGGTCTCGAGTTCTCGCAAGTGGTGGGTCAGATTTGTGTGGCTTTGCACCTGGTGGATACCATCGTTCTTGATGAGGTGGATCGGAAAGATGAAACGCCCCGATGTTCGATTGGCTTGGCGTGAAAAGTTTACACTCTGCTTTTTGATATTTCTACTCTCGTCCTTTATCACCTTCTACATCATCTTCTTTGGCAATCTCCTTTGTCCTGGAACGGACAAGGTGTACAGTTCAACCGATGTCTCTTATCACACTGGTGACACTGATTTCTGGGTTAGCGTCAGAGGTGTTGTCTATGATCTTAGCGCATTCCATATGACAGATCACGCGAACAACGCACCGGGTCTCGTTGCCAATCAAGCAGCAATGCAGCCATTTGGAGGGACAGATGCCACAACCTCTATCCCCGTGCCCTTGAATCAGCCTGATTCGTGTGGTAGCTTGGTGACCAGCTCCCTTATCACAGTACAGCATACCAATCAATCCGACATGCCGTCATTCATTCACAACACGCCCTCCACCATCTATCCTAACTCTCATCTTGCGGACGCACGGTGGTACTGGGATTACTTTTTACCTACGATGCAATTTTACAAGAAGGCGACCCTTGTTTGGGAAACAGCAGACGTCGCGGCGCAAGGGCTTGCTGGACGAAAATGGGCCATCATCAAGGACAACGTTTATGACCTGACCGATTACTTTGCCACCATCTCGAGCAATCCCGGAAACAATGCCTACCATTATTTGAATTCAGGCATTGAAACTTTGTTTAATGTGAGGGCCGGCCAAGACGTCACCGCACAGGTTTATGGCAATCAGATCTCCGCAACAGATCGTGCCAATAACATGAGGTGCTTGAATACGGTGTTTTATGTTGGCTCCATTGACTTCCGAAAATCCTTCCGCTGTCAAATAAACAACTACATTTTATTGGCAGCAGCGTGCCTCATGGCTTCCGTCATCTTGGTGAAGTTCTTG